TTTAAGATTCATACAGTCATTTTTCCTATTGCCCATTGGCTTGTCTATTGCATGATTGCTACTGTACTACGTTTTTCCTACACAAAAAAAAAAAAAAATGATATTTTGTGGTGATAAAAAGCTAAACGAAGATGTTACTGAAAAAGACCAGCAGAAGTTTTGTGACCCCAGAAAGCAGAGGAGTATCTTAATAGAAACGCGGTATTGAGACAGAAACAAAGACATTAAAATGGAAGCATCAATATCACAAACAAAGCTGGCAGTGCATCGAATATAAGACAGGGATTCAATTTTCCATTGGCAACTCACATTCCACCAAGAATCGTGATTTACAATAGAATAATTTCATGTGGCAGAACACGAACAAGAACATGTCTTGTTCATAATTAATGAGCATCCACGTATTGTTATTAAAAAAAAAGAAGAAGAAGGGACAATCTAAGATTAAAATTACAAAATTACCATGCTACACGAGGATTATCAAGTGCCAAGATCTTAAGCAAACCATCGTAAGTGACAACATCTTCATCACCACCAGCAGCACAACCAGCCATTTTAATCATAGCTTTGATATCATCATCAGGAGCATCAAACCCTGCCCATTGCATATAACTTTTCAAATCTTCAACACTCAATTTTCCATCTCCGTCTTTATCCATAACCTTGAACACGTCCTCCATAACCCCAGAAGTAGATCTTGTCGATATCGACGATTCCTTGTTTTCACTAAAACCATCCAAAACTCGTTCAAATTCATCATACTCAACAAACCCATCTTTGTTAAAATCAGCGACAGACATCATTGAACCTATAACATCATCGTCAGCATCATTTCTTGAAAACCCTGCGTAAAACATGCGAAGGTCATCTTTGCTTATCTTCCCATCACGGTCTGCATCAAGAACATCAAACGCTGGCCTAAAATCTGATCTTGCACCACCCCTTTTGGTCTCTGCAGCTAAACTTGTTGCAGATGGGCTCATGCTTGGGGAGAAAGGTCAGGCTTAGGTTTTCTTTCTAAAAAGTCGTTGATGAAATTAAGTAAAACAAGGCAATAAGATGCCTTGGCAAGTTGGTTGAATTATATAGAAAGAAAAAGGTTGGCTGGGTCCAGTCAAAGAAATTAGGAGCATGTGACTTGATTGCCAAGATTTTGGAAGTCTAAGAACTGTACACGTGGGCTGTTTTTATTTGTGAGGTACGTTTGTAGTGACGTAAGATGGTGAGTCGTCAAGTTTTACTGGCCAAGATTGCCCGTCTGCTTTTTTGAGATGTGAGGTCGGCAGTTCTTCATTGCTGGTGGATATGTTTTGTTCTCTCGTCTCGGAAGTTCCGAGGTCGATATCGTCTATTCCTTGCCATAATAATGATTCGAAGCGGCACATCACTGTTTATATGAAGAGGCACGACTTTTATTCTGAAATCAATGTTTTCCTTCTCCTTAACGGTTAGAAATTAAAGTGGTGTTTTCAAAAATATAAAAAGAATTTGAGCTTTCTTTGGCTTTCAATGCGAGTAGTACTTATAATCTTGGCTTCTTTTTTTTTATTAGCATATTTTAAAAAATATCAGTGAAATAACATGCATGGAGAAAGAATTGGTGAAATTATACATGTCGCACGATTAAAAAACATGATATTTATAATTTGTTTTAAAATAGCAACACATAATAAAAAAATATTAAATGGACAAAAGACTAGAAAGAAAAAAATTAAATAAAAAAATATTTTAGAAATATATTAAAACTTTAACTATGACATCACTGTTATAGTTGACAAGATTTTAATAAAATGAACCTAATAATATAAAAAAAAATTATCAGAGTTATGATCTAAGCATGTCGCACTTATAATAAAAAATAAATAAATTATTCATCTTCTTTGAATGCTAATTATGACTCAATTCACGTTATTATTTGTAATTTTTTTATATTATTAGATTTGATTTATTAAGATTTTTTTGATGATATTATTACAATCATTATTAGAACTTCAAGATATTTTTATACTTCTTTTTTTATTTTTCTCTCTCCTCTCTCTTGTTCATTTAATGTTTTTCTACTGAATGTTACTATTTTAAATAAAAACAAGCTAAGACAAGCAATAAATATCAGTTTTTTAATTACGACAAATATTTTTTTAACCTATACTATTATACTATCATGCCAATATTTTTAAATTACTATGCTATTTAGGGGTGGCGAAGAGCTAATACTATTTCAAATAAATAATTAAAGACCCATCTATCATCTCAATGGATAGATTGGGATCTCCTCGTGTTCCATGATTAATTAATACTTATCTATAAGAATTTATGACTCGACGTTTAATTCTGACATTTTCTTTTTCTTTTTCTTTTTATAACAGTATTGTATTTCATTACAATTATAAAATATACTAAAATGCCTCCTTAAAATAGGATAGCAACTCATGATAGCTATTTTTTTTGTTCTTAAACTTTTTTTTTCAACTGCAGCATTTGATGTTTAAATTAATGATCAAATTATTAAAAATTATTCAAAAAATAAAAATACTAACAAAAATATTATCAACATGTAAAATAAAGATCATATGAAAAATCTTAAATTTGCTATAAAAAATTCTATTTAGTCCATCTATTTTTTTTGCCTTACTCCTCCATGATAACATTATCCAATCTGACTTTGAATATAGATAGGCTTGCTGTCCTTTGAGATTTTTACACAACTAATTTTGTTAATAATATATATTTTTTATTGTTTTTTTTAATGCTGTCATTCAATATTAAATTATTTGATATCTAAGCTTTCAATTTATTTTGGATGGAGCTATCATGATATCATGATTAAGTCACAAATTTTGTATATTATCTTGGATGATTTAGTTTAGTGTTTTTAATTTTTTCTCTTTATTTTTTTTTATTTTTTCATTTATATTATCAAAATTACTTGGGTCAAATCAATAACCCGAGTGTTGTTTTTTTTTCCTTCGAAAATACTTGCATCACCCTGACTTTCCTTTATGATGGAAAAAAAATCAGGTCAGCCCCCGGCATAACACATAACACATATAACTCGTAAGTTGCCACTATTGTTTCCAAATACAAATCCAAACTACAATGTACAGAGCAAACTCATTTGCCATCCAAGCTAATTCGCTACATCTACTTTTTATTTCAATGAACTATACTTGATCTCATGTTCTCACGACCAAAACAAGTTGAAAGAAAATAAAATTTAATGCCTCTGGATAGTAAAAACAACTAAAAACGAAAAGAAAGAAAGAACGAACAATATGGATTGGGTTTGGACTCCAAGCTTTAACAAAGAGCTATGGACAACTTGCAACCGGGCCTCTTTCAAGCCTGCTTTATCCGTACTTTATAAATATTGGGGTATCTCGGTAATTTCCAGAGACGAAAAACCCTAGCAGCTCTTGTAGTCTACCACTATATAACGATTGACATATTTCACTTAGCTTCTTAGATTTTTGTTCTCTGCATTATCTATGCGTGTTCTTAAATTTGTTTTTGTCAAGATAAGTCGTTGATGCCTTTTAAAAGAAACCTTAAAATACAATAAAGATTGTTTTCGGGTTTCATGAACATATATTTTGTTTGCAAGAGAGAGTCTAAGCAGAAATTAAGTCGCTGCGTCTTTGTACTCCACAGGCGCAGTGAATTTTAGCCTGCCAAATCGTCCTCTTTCTTGTCGTGATAGTCTCTGTGTTTTTTTATCATGGGGTTACTAATTACTTCTGTTATTCTTTATTTTGCATTGGTGAGAATGACACGGGGATCCTGTGATGGCATGAAATCTTTGAGACCTGATTGTATTCATCTGATGACAACCATAAGCATTATTGCTGAGGACCCATTTGTCAATCCTTTTTTTTCTTTTATTGTTGTTGGTGCTCATTGATGGGTTTTTCTTGCTGTGTGGTGATTTTGTTACACTTAATGATGTGGAGATGATGAATATGCACTGGGCTCTGAGCAAGCTGTTTATCAGCTGCTTAATTGATGCATAATTGCTGCCTAGAAAGCTATGTCTGATCTGTTTTAACTTCAAGTTGTTTATTTCTTTTTTGATTTTCGGTGTCCATGGAATGTAATGTAACGAATCTAAGTTGAGAGATATAGTTAAACTTACCGGCTGGAAATATAGCAAGCTGGGATTTTTCCTGCTACTCCAACGATTACAGAAAAATTTAAAAGGCAGAGCCTCTTCCAAATGGACTGTTGGATGATTCAAGAGCTTGCAATGGAGAAAAATACCACCTCAGGAATTGGTCAAGTAAATTTAAGATAGCAATACGGGAAATTTGCAAGTTTGGTTATACGAAAGAGACTCAATTACGTGAATTAGGACGCCAATAAAAATGAAACGGAGGAATCAAAATCATACGGTAACAATTTCACGAGGCAAAAATAGGAATTAACAATTTTAGGATTTTAAATTTACGTTATCCTGTTTGTTGCTGTGCAACCAAGAATTTAAATATTTTATATTTTAAATATTAATAATTTTTAAATATTTTTAAATTATTTTAATATGCTAACATTAAAAATAATTCTTAAAAAATTAAAAATATTATTTTAATACTTTTGTAAATGTAACATATTTTACAAAACAACCATAACCAACCATAACCATCGCTCCAAATATATCTCAGATCTTTCTTCTTCTTTGTGTTTCAAAAATAATTTCTAAAGAATAAAAATATATTATTTTAAAATATTTTAAAATAAAAAATATTTTAAAAACTCAGCCCACCCGCCCGAGAGTGATGTTAAAAGCTGATAACAAAAGATTTAACTGCAGACATATTATCAAAATTCCCCTTCCTGCTACAAGACTTCCACAACCCTCAGTCCCTCGTTCATTTTGCCCGTATCGATTTTAGGTTCTGAACCCACTTAGATAAGACGTTAAAGAAACCATGAACCTCAATGAGAAACAGTAACCGCTAGTCACTGGAATATAGGGGGCAACTCGGGGGGATGGTAAAAACGATGAACAATTGAGAGAAGCTGTAATCTATCATATTGTGCTTTAAACTACAAAAGGATTAGTCAATTTCTTTTCAACATTATACTTGTCAGGGCTTTACCCCACCCACAGCAAAACATCAGTGCCTTCAAAAATTGAGAACAGTTCATCGGTTGGTTGGGATCGTATCGTCAACGGACAGGATTAGAAAAGAAAATGACAACAAAATACACAAAGAACCCAGCAAGAAGAATCCCTCCGTAGATATAAGTCTGTGAAGACTGCACAGGATATTTGTATTCAATGTCGCAGCATCTCATTTTCTCTCTCTCAGAGGTCAAAACATATTCAACATACCTGCATCGTGGACCCAAAACGTAATCAACTGAACTAGTCAAATTAAAGCATAATGACAGTCTGGATGAGAATAAACAAAGACAAAACATCATCGTGCAGGATTTAACAAGTCAAAGTTAACTTACTGATGGGTGAAAAGAGCACTTTGAAGAATTTCGGAACTGTTCAAATGTGCTTCTTGTAACCGGTGATCATATAACAAGGAAGACAGATCTACAAGCTGTTCCTCAAGGCTCTGTTATTTAAACAGGAAATAAAATCAACACAACAATTTTGCAAGTGTAAATCCTAAGGCGCTATTCTGGTCATGGGTGACTTACGTCTAGGTACTTCTCCAACCGTTCAACTAATTCATGTGGAAAAGGTTCTGGCAAGTTCGTCGTCTTTTTGTAGAACTTCTCCAACCACAATTCGGTTGTTGTCTTGTTCTTCTTGCCTTTGACAGGTTCACCAAGAGGGGTTTTTAGATACTCCGCAGCAAAGGTTTGGACATCCTGACAAAGCAGAAAGATTCCACAAGCATTAAATTATGCGAATAATTCTCATTTGAATACTTAGTAATGAAATGGGACCGAAATACCTCTGACATTTCACGAATTCTATGCAGTGCAGAATCCACACGAGCATAAATTGTGTTCCTCTGCCAAGAAAGTAGAGTGAAACAGTTTCAGATACATATTAAATGTTACAAATTCAATTTTAACAAAACAAAGATAAAAGCAACACGCAATGTCAGAGGAAAAACAAGCACTTTCAATATTAATAGATCAATCTATCTAGTTCTCCAGTATTAAGTTCTGCAAGTAAAGCCATTCACAAAATCAGAAGTTTTGACAATGAAATGACCTTACCAAGGCTACATCCTGTAGCATTTTACTGACTTTAGAAGTATTAGAGAATGGTCCAAATGGGTGGCAACCAGTCGCCCAGAGCCAATTTACAATTGGCCTTTCATGCACATGAGATGCTTTTTCATATGGTGCGCTCAACCCGCCCACAGTAGAAGCAAGTCCTGCCAATATGTGGCGCTGTGCAAGTGATGGAAAGGCATGCCTTCGCTCTATCTCCGAAACATAACTGCCCAGCATGGAATCACAAATGAATTGAATTATAGAAGGGAAAATATGAAAAAAAAAAAAAGAGGAGGCAAGAAAAAAAGAAATGAACCTTTCCTTCTTTCTAAGAGATCCTACATAAATACCACAGTGAAATGCTAATTGTGACCACAGTAAACAGTGTCATCCTTATGTTACAAACACATCATGAAAGGATACCACAGCACAAGTTCAGGCACATGTGCGAGGACAAAAGAAAAACCCAAATTCATTATTCAACTCCAAAGGTAATCAGCAATAGAGTATATATAGTGTAGCCAGAAATTTTTTTCATTGGGGTCCACTTAATAGCCATCACTTCCAAAAATATTATACTTCAAATAAAGTAATTATTGTAACAAAAATACATATATAAATAAAATCAAGAGCAAAAACAGTGTATTTGATTCACCAGGTTGAAAAAAAACTTACATAGTGTGGAAGAAATCTTTGAGCACAACAGGATTTTTTTGGCAGAAAAAATAATCTTTTTGGTTAAATTGTTAGAAAACTATTCATACTAAGGAAAGCCTTGCTTGTGGTTGTTTTTTTATACAAAGACAAACTGCCTTGAAAAAACAGTTAGAGAAACAAAGAAGCTAAATGGTTATTAGGGACCAAAATCCATGTGGCAATAGAAAAGAGAGGTTGTTAAACTTTTGAGGCAAAAGTATTGAGATGATCATATTCATTCAAGTATCTCATTATTTTGAGAGGAGTCAACATGCAATAAGCATATAACTCCTACAGTCAAGTGACTGTAGAAATTCAAGTCAGAGAAAAACCATACATGCAACATGAGAAATTAGCTCGGTAAAGGAAGAGCAACTAACACCAGTTAGATTCATCTTTTAGTTTCTGTTAAATACAGCTACTGTGGCCACTAGAAACTTTTAAACTAGCGCTACTCACCTCAGAGGTATCTTTTCATTTAGATGCTGGAGAACAATCACAACATCTTTGCTTGTCCAAACAAGGCTTTCGTCCTCCATCATAAGATTTGGATCCACATCAGCCAGCGATAGCACAAAGCTGCAAAATAATACCATAAAACATTTAAAAAATGTAAAACGAATTCACAGCAGAGCAGGAGAGATTGGAAAGAAACACAGCTACACGAGAAATTTTTTTGACTGATGCTACAATGATACTCTGAGCAAGTCAGCATCACTAGTTACAAGACAGGAAATACCAGAAAATGACCTTATATTTATCAAATTCTTTGATGTAGGAGATGAACTTGAAGTGGAATTATTAAAATATATAGTACATTTGGATGCAATATAGTTTACAAGACAGGAAATCCCAGAAACTGGCCTTATATTTATCAAATTCTTTGATCTAGGAGATGAACTTGAAGTGGAATTATTAAAATATATAGTACATTTGGATGCAATATAGTTTACAAGACAGGAAATCCCAGAAACTGGCCTTATATTTATCAAATTCTTTGATCTAGGAGATGAACTTGAAGTGGAATTATTAAAATATATAGTACATTTGGATGCAATATAGTTTAACCAGTGCCATGAACACCAAGCTTCTGTGTCCGTCAAGACAAAGGAAGAAATGCTCAACGAAGTTTCAAAAGACATTCCTATCTAGGTTGAAAAAGTTAAACTACTATAAAAAAATTATTAACCACCATACGATGCCAATTGTCTGTGCTAACAAATGAAAGGCCAAGACAATGCTCACACAGGAATAACTCTTGTCCCATAAGTCCGTTGCAGATCTCCTTGTTTCTTTTGCGATTGCTTTTTCCTCTTCTTGACACTATTAGAGGTTTGACTGGCCCAAAGAGGTTTATGCTTAAGAATTGAATCACTTGAACCGTTAGATTCGTCCATCCAGTTCTGGGGGATACAGAATTCAAATTCATTTTAGCTGACTACAGACAACAGGATCTAGAAAAAATCAACATATATATCCTATGTACAGTAAATTCCCAAAAGCCAGCAATAATGTATTAGCATAATGATTGTAAGAAGACCTGTCGAAGGAAAAATTTGCTTGAAAGAGCTGGGTTAGCAATCTCAACTAAACCTGCAGCAAGCACATCACCAGACCGTTCCATCTCCTGCAATAAGCGATGGATACTTAGGATCTTCCAACAAGACATTAGCAAGCACAAGAAACCAAGAACAAGGTAGCAAGCTAAGATAGAATTATAGCTCAGAGATAAGAACTCATCAGATTTTGCAAGATGCTCTGGCTGTTCACCGGGCATCATCAAGATAGCAAGAAAATAGAATCAGCTCCATGAGCAATTAAGATTATTTGGCTGATGCACCACACCAGGGAGTGGGCTTCCCAATGCCTCTTGAAGACCATTAATGAACATTGGAAAACCAAGTGTACCTTACCATTTCACAGCAGACTTTCCAAATAATTGAGTAAACTATAAACATGCAGCTATTTTTATCAACAGATAAATGAATTATTTGCCATGTAATATCAGGTAATTCAATAAGTACAAGATAATACAAGAAACAAAGAATGATGAGCCCGTGCCATCCAGAAATGTTTTGGTATGAACAAGGGAAACCAAGTGTGTCTTTATCTCATCACAGTAGACTACCAAATGGTTAGAGACTAAACTGCAAACACATGGATAATTTTTACCAACAGATAAAATGAATCATCTGCCATGCAATATTAGGTATGTCAACAAGTACAAGATAATACAATAAACAAAGAAAGACAAACCCACTTCTTTAAGTACAGCTCCATCCAGAAATGTCTTGGTGTGGACATGGAAACGTCCATCCTTTTTAGTTTCTTGCAAGGAATGACCCCGCATTGCTTTTGATACGGCGATAGCCAACTTCTCATGACTATGTAAAGCATATGAACCACCGACAATCACAACTTCTTGTCCATCATGAACCATCTTCTTCACCTGAAATGGAAAGAGAACAGATGGCATAAATTGTCAGTCTTTCTAGTTTTATCAGAGAGGCTGACATGATATCACATAAAATATTAAAAAGTAGTTCTATCATGCAATCTTAAGGTTATAGATACAAAAGTCACATGGCTAATTAATCAAATTGAGATCAGCGCATGCTAATAAACTGACATGGTAGATCCACTTGAAAAATGGGAATATCTTATAACCAAAAGGGGGATTTATTTCATATTTAACTAACTACACAGTCAATTCAGTGAGGTAAGTGTAAAAATTACCCTGTCCAAACACATTTTGTGCTTATAAAACAAATTTATCGATAATTCATAAAAAAGCACCTAGCGAAAGGGTTCCCTTCGCCCAACTAATCTGGATTAAGAGAAACTTGCGCAAGTGAGGCCACAGATCCAAAAAGTTATACAATGATTTTTAATTGTGATGGAGGGAGTAAGGATGTATTACGTTACAGACTGGGGGTAACACTCTTTATATAGACAGGAAAAGTTTCTTTTGCAAACTGAACTTGGATGCCCTCCCAGTCCCAGTTCTTTTCTTGTATAGTAACTGATGAGAACAATGACTGGGATGCTCAGATCCCTTTTCTGAGATGAAGCAAAGTCTGGTCTACAAACTTACAAATAATATCTTGGTTTTCTCAGCGATCTCCAAATGAGTATATAAACTCCCTTTAAGCATATTAAACATTCAAACTCCACATTCTTAAGTTTAGATTCCTGGATGGAGAGAAAAACAAGGCAATTGAATGCATAAATCATTTTATCAACTACTTTAGGTTGGAGTTCTTCAGAAAATTCTTTTCTTGCTTTTATTAATTGTTATCCTACAAACAAAGTACAATGAACAGGAAAGTTACCTGGCACTACACCAATTTTAGAATTCAAATCAGCAAAAGCTTCATGGAGAGAATAACTCACCTCTGATTCAATTTCTTCAACATTGATGCTGTAATTATGACCGTTCTCAATAACATTATATCTGTTATGATTATGTAGAACAATGATTGGTATGAGCAATCTTGTTGTCATATCAACAGTCTCAAACCTAAATCCAAAGAGGAAATGCAAGTAATCAGATTCTGCAAAACTGCAGATACCAGGAAAAATATAGCGAGCATCAGATCTGCTACATGGTTGACACTCAAACCATGATTTGTTTAGTTGTCCAAATAGTGTCGGTGTTAGGGATAATATAGGAAAATACTGATGTCGCATCCCCTGATCAATGAACAAAAGACTTCATGCATGTACCTAACATCTGGAGCCACAACATGCTCTACCGTGGTTGATATTAAAGCAGCAAGTTGTCCAACAAAAGTATCACGAGTAGAATGATCACCAGCAGCACCTACACCTCCTGGAAACATCATGTTCCGTATGCGTGGCAGTGTTCTGGAACTGACACTTCCCTCTTCAGTTTCAATCTTTCCATATGTGCAAGGGCCTGCTGACAGGTCGATCACGACAAATCTGAATAGTATGGGCACATTATTAAACTCAGTAAAAAGACACAGAACTGAAGGGAGCATTTCCTGAAATCAGGGCACTGAAATTAATGAGCCAAGTACACAATGCACTATAACATGAACATCTGGTTCTAACATCATGAAAACTTGCCACAACATTGCAATTGTCCTAAGATTCACAACCATCAAATTAATTTACCTAATGCAGTTTATGTCAAGTCCAACTTGATAGAAACTAGTAATCCACAGCTCAAATAAAATATTGTGAGTGGTTGGTAATAAACTTCCACATGATTTTCAATGGAGTTTCATATGCCAGAAATAGGTTTTATGATTTCATAGATTACTATTTCAAGGTAACTGTATTCTGAAGTTGAACCAAGGATCATAGCTTAAAGATTTCATGAAAAAGAAGAAGAAGAAGAAGAAGAAGAAGAAGAAACGTATTTTCTAGTTGCATCACCTCATACATGCTTGATAGAAGTTCATGTGATATTGAGCAATGAACACACCATAGAAGCAACATTTGCCTATTAAGTACGGATTTTTTATTCAATCTAATTCATTGACCACAGAATATATTCAGAATGTTATATGTGCATTTTTATACGATCCAAAGTTAAACTCAAGGAAACTTCAGGCACAACCAATACTGCTCCACAAATGATTCTCTCTTACTTCAACACATGATACCAAGTTGACTGCATTAAGTACCTGTCCGAACTCAGCCAAACTTGAGTTGCTCCTCCTCCGTTATACCGATACCGATAAATGTAATCTCCCTCTTGTTTCCTCAAATCTTCATCAGACAATTCCTTAAGTTTTCCATACATCAAATTGTCTAAGTCAATTTCCCTGTTTCTAGGATCCATTCTCACCTGCAAGGGAGGGTCAAACCAAGGCATACATGATCGGAA